ATTTCGCTATGTTGAAATTTAATTATTAGAAACATATAAATCGGTTAAAAATTAAAATCGGTTAACACCTACAAACTGTTAATATTCACAAATATTTTCCCAAACAAACACAAAATTACAACCTAATTTGTTGTAATAAATATTCTACCAACTGTTTAAAAAAATAAAACTTAAGCAATAACAATAACACCCTGCAATAACCACACTTAGCAAAGACAGTGTAGACGGTAATGGAAATAACAGTGGATTGGAAAGTGGTGGGTTGCAGGCAAAAATTACATTAACTCAATTTATCATCCTCTCCGTTGTCTTTTCCTTTTCATCGTCGTCATCGTCGTCACCATCAACGTCATCATCGTCTTCATTCACCAACATCGTCATCGTTGTCTTCATCATCATAAACATCAATCGCATTGACATTACCATAAAGAGTTAATTCATTTATTAACACTAATTATTTCCCCAAATGATCTGAGTTAAATTTGCATTAGTTCTATGTTTTTATCCTTCTCATTTTTATAACATTATTTTTTCATTTTCTTTCTTGCATTGACGATGATATCTGATGATAAGATGTCATGATATCTGATAATAAGATGTCATATCTGATGATAAGATGTCACATGATACCTGATACATGATCATGGGGTGATATGGAAAAGAGATGGCGATCAAAATGATGAAAACGAAATTAGTTAATAGATGCATCACGCGATATTTCTGATCATCAAAGTAATAAAAATTTTCAATAACAATGATAAAATGTAAAATGTAAATCTATGATGATAATAAAAATAATAAGTAAATAATTAATAAAATCAATCTAAATAAAAAACATCAACTGACTGACCTGCGACTATGACACTTGTGTACATGATGGCGTCATTTGAAACTTCAGCAACCAAATGTTATTTTTATTTATTTTAATATAAATTTATTAAAAAAAAATTAAAAGGTGGTAGCAGAGAGCAAGAATTGAAAGGAGTTATTGTTATTAAATATAATGTTAAAAGTTTCTTGATGAAATTTTTATCAAATATTAAATGTAAAAAGAGCTTAAAATGTGAAACAGATGAGTCGCACACACACGCACGCGCACACAAGCATGCACACACATACACACAAACGCACACACACAAAATACACGCAAACGCACTCACATACTCATATGCATATATTAAAAATTAAAAAAAATTAAAAACGGAAAATAAAAAGCAGCTGGAATAGTTTGATGGCCAGCATTTACAGATTGATAGTTCATCAGCAAAGTGATAATAAAACACGGAGGCAAAAAAGGTTATGTCTCGGAGATGTTAGGCGTTAGTTCAAAGTATAAAAAACATAAAAAATTGATAATTTCTAAATTAAACCCATATATTTCAAAAATAAAAAGTTATGAATTCGAATTTAAGAGAAAGCAGATTTTTATTTTGTACAGACACTTTCGATTTCATGCTTTATTTGTTGGTGAAACATTTTTAAATTTCATTTCAGTATCAGGTTCCAAGCCCTGTTTAATTGTTTAGAGTAGATGGTAGTTATTAAATATAAAAGTTGAAAATTGTTGGTTAAATGACACTAGAAGTGTAAAATAAACAGAAGTGGTCGTCATTATAGCATAATCTTCATGATGCAAACAATTTCGAATGTGGATGGCGTTGAATGTTTGGCAGTCTGGCTGCTTCACGTTTGGTGAATGGTTTGTAGGATAGTTGCTGAAAAATTTTTACTGATTAATATATTTTCCATCAAATGAAATTTTTATCAATTTTTTTAAACCAACATAAATTTTAATAGTTTTACATTCTATTAAAAAGCGTTCCAATTTTTAAAGATTTGTCCTTTTACTCCATAACTACTCGTTTAATGCACTCCAGATATAAACGCTGAAGACAGGATATGTGCCAGTGTTGGGGGTCACGTAAATATATTTTTATTACGTTGAACAATCTCCAAACAGCTGACAGTGAACGGACCACATCCATCGTATTATACAATTGTTGGCCAGTAGCTTAATGTTAGCACATGCATGTATTTGTGGTTTTGTTGTGAACATGTGAAGCTTTAAAAGACAACTTGTGATTGAAATAAGTTTGCAGTACATCTAGATTAATTAGATTGTAGAGCTTGCAAAATTGTGAAAAAATGATCTTAAAGGATTTCACATAACCTTATCAATCTTTTTATTACAATGCATACTTATTACATTTTAACTTGAACGCCATACTTTGAGAAACCTTTGCAACACTAAGTTTTATTATCTAAAATACCGACCGGGTTACATGGCAGACATTTATGAAAATATATTTTTAAAACTATCAAATAATGCTAATTAAAATTATCAGCTGATCAGCCGTAATTCATTAAAAGATTTTGCCTTATTATAAAAAGTTGCACATATCTCGATGCACATAAACATTGAGAAACATTCCTGCAAACCTAGCAATGGCATTTAATGATAAGCCAACATGGATGGTGACATCAACATCTTGTGCTGCAACATCAACATATCATTAGATGGAAATAATTTCTTCACGTCATAACACGTCACATGTAAAGGTCGGCGCACGAGAGAGCCTGGCGATCGATGATTCTCAGTGGCGAAATATTTTTTATCTTTCGCGGTCTGCCTACCTGGCTGACTGGCTGACTGGCGTCAGTTTGTCGTTTGCAGGGAGATTTCCATCTGAAAAGCACAACTCAGGTTATTGGATAATTTGAAAAATATTCGTGGATGACATCTTTAAATTTAAATTTTATAGATGCTAATAAGTAAAAACAAGCTCAAAATTATGATTATTTTAAACGTTAATGGAGTTGCATTAATTATAATTTGTTTTGAATTTTAAAAATATGACAAAAACAGAAAAATATTATAATAATATAAGCACATTGAAATAATAAATAAATAAATTTCACATCATCATTAATTAATCAGTGACAACTCAAAGGCGTCAAGAATTTTATTCAAGAATTAAGTCGAAAGTAACCAGAAAGAAATTTAAAAACAATCAGGCTTGCCTAACCTAACATAGAAATAGCATGCAGACGCAAATTGCCAACATCAATTTCATTCCTTCAATATCAATATTCCCATTTTTTCACTTCATTTATGACAAAATCTTTCATATTTATGTTTTGAGACTACATATTTTTTTTCAATTATTTACACACAGACATACACAGACACACACGACACACAAACAAAAACACTTGCACACCTACACAGTTACACACACAACACAAAAACATCAGCACACACATGATTCATATACACACGGACACATACACACACGGACACATACACACGAGTATATATATATACAGAAATATATAACGATGAACCAATGAAACTTTCACAGAAATTTACATAGTATTAGACAAATTTATGCAATTCGCATTGCCCCAAATTTGTCCATTGTGTGGAATCACATTCAAGAAATTACAAATAAAGATCGGCGCACACACACGCACACATATACACACTGTTGAATAGATGTAGGTAGATAGATGAAAACAAACACGCCATACACACACACACATACACACACACAAACACACACGTTATATTACATATATATATATATATATATATATGTGTGTGTGTGTGTACGGTACATGTAGAACCAGATATAACAGATATTTGAGGCATGTGTACGTTCCCGATCCTAACATGTTATCATTCTCCTTTGACAGAAAAACTACTTCTGCAAGCAGCAAGCAGTCAATAATAAATGCAAATATGTTTAGCGCTGCAGAAATAAACATGCTGACGACAGGAACGCCATCTTTAGCGCAATTTTATCCGGAGAAACAAAATTCAATATTGGTCACTAATTGTTCTCAGTCAACTTTTTTTTACAAGGCATTTTAATAATTTGTATTTGGTTAATGGAAATAGAGATGAAAGCTTTTATTAAGATAACTATGAATATCTGCTGCTGATAAATTTTGTCAAATAATTTTCCACCTAACTTTATATTCCAATATTCTTGTCAGTTTTTAATTTCAACCCTTCTGAATAGATACATTGTTCTCTTATAAATAACCAAATGTCCGAAATGACTAATTTTAAAATTAATTTTATTTATCTTATTGTTTCATACTTAACAACATACTTTTAATGAATTTTATCTTTCAAATTTTCAACAACTTCAAGTAAAAACATTAACATCATCCCAGCCTTCATAATCATCATCCGTCCGTTGTCAACATCGTCATCATCATTAAACATTTCCTTACAAATACTAAACTAGCTCACCATCGTCACCAACAAAATCACCAAAAGATGTCATCAGCATGATGATGGCGAAAAATTAATTATCACATACGACCTCATTATCCGATTCATTGATCTACAGTTCAATTCAAATTAAATGCATTCAACGCACGCACCTAGCGCATGTCCAACAGATGATATTTTAAATAAAAAATCAGATGTTTTGGAGTTTGATTTTTTTTGTTTTTTCTTTCTTTATACATACGCACGACACACACACACACACACGCACACCCACCCACACACACATCCACACATCACATCTACACACATCCACCCACACACTTACCTACCCATCCACCTCTCACACACATTCACACGCACACACACACAACACCCACACAAACACAAATTCATATGAAAACATTTACATACATCAACTGAAATATTTAACTTTAAAAACACCTATGCAGGCCCATGCATGCATGCACGCATACTAAACATATGTTTTTAAAATCTGCATTTTTCAATCATCATCATCCTCTTCAGATAGAACACTCATTACTTACTATTGTCGTTATCGTTTTTATAAAAATTGACCAGTTTGTATCAGCTTTCCATCATTTTGTTTTACCGCCAACTCTCCTTTTTTTTTTATAACTTTTGTTACATTTCAATAGAGTTGTGCTATTTCACTTATTGCAGGGGTGGGCAAATTTTTTGCTGTGAGGGCCGCATTGAGAACTACTTTATTTTTGAAGCCTTTATACTACTTTATACTATGTACCTTAATAGCAACATTTTTCGACCCGGGGGCCCGGGGGAGAGCTTTTTAAGATTTGTGGTTCGGGCCGTAGATTGCCCTTCCCTGACATATTGTATTAAAAAATTCTTCTTCATCCTCGTTATTGTACCACCAGCAACCGGTATCATTAAATTTTGATTGTGGTTAGCGTTTACACGACCTCATGCTTGTCGTCATCATCATCGCCATCAACCTTATCACCATCATCTTCGCCATCGTGGTCATCGTCTTCATCATCTTCAACATCATCCAGCGAACATATGCGTAGAGTATGACTGGCATATCGACAAATGAAATGCAACTCAATCATGCTTAAGTAGAAGATGATGGCTAGAATACATATATACATGTATGTAAATATGTATGCATGTATGTATGTATGTATGTGTGTGTGCGTGTATATATGTATGTATGTATGTATATATGTATGTATGTATGTATGTATGTATGTATGTATGTATGTATGTATGTATGTATGTATGTATGTATGTATGTATGTATGTATGTATGTATGTATGTATGTATGTATGTATGTATGTATGTATGTATGTATGTATGTATGTATGTATGTATGTATGTATGTATGTATATATGTATGTATGTTAAAACCAAAACATGATGAGTGACACTGAACCGTCAAACATCAACTAACAAATGTATTAACACTTTGATTTGTCGTTAATTGCACATGTCGGCATTCAGTTGGATATTTTCAAGCACACAGACACGCAGGAACCGTTGCAACAAGCACGAAATGTGATTAGTTGCGAAAAACAGTTCCCTGCTGTCGTCTGATCTGACGCTGATCATTTTACATATTGCCTTAAGAAATTTAAGGGTGTTGGGGTCCATCGGGCCGAGAACCTCGATACATATTGGCAAGAATTCCATCGAGGGGAGGGCATTCCCATATTTTTTTCATTTTCTCGTCCGCTGCCCTGGCCGCGGCCAAACCGCATCCTTTACTTGTCAGGTTTACATATCGTTTGGCAAGGGTGCCAGGGACCGTAACATCCCACGCCAAACATCTACCGGCTTTCTAAGGTATTAGTGTGCATCCGTCCGGGCGCCTACCATCATGCGCAGAAATGCCGGATGGTTCCTTGAGAACTGGGATTGAAGCCTTGGAGAAGAGCCGACAAATGTTAAAGGTTAAAGGTTACTCTCTCTCTCTTTTACGTTAGCCTCATAGGTTTCAACGACAAACACACACAGCATATATGAATACGCGTGCAAACCACGCATCATACACATTGCATATGATAAGCGGGGATGTCTTTGTATTCGAACCCAGTCATTGCAATAGCAAGACCAGGCGCCTTTAACTATTGAGCCATCACGCCGCCCATGTAGCCGTAGATGTAGTCGTTTAATGCTGAGTGACGTAGTTGACGGCCCCCAGGCGACAAACCAAACCGTGGTGCCCAAACTCATCCGCCCCAGCGCCACATTGGCACGTGTACTTATTTTGAATGACCAGGCCAAGTCTGAAGCCAATGGCAAATCTCACAGACTCGTCGTCAAGCCTGTATGTATGTATGTATGTATATGCATGTACGTGTGTGTATCTGTATATCTGTGTGTGTGTATATATATAGGTAAGTGGTTACGTAATTTTTGAAAGAAGATGATTTGTGGAAGAAGACGACGATGACGAGAGGTTGACAACCGACAGCTAACGTTTAAAGCACTTTAGAGATTTCCCACCTACTTTTAAAATGTTCAAAAAATTTAGCAATTAAAAATATGAATGCGCTTTTAAATTGCGCTCTCGAATCTCAATTTTAATCTCGAAATCATTTTTAATCTTATTTGTTATCGCTGATGATGATTTCACCGTTTTCACCGTTTCACCGATTAATCATTGCTCTTTTGATTCTTCACTGCCACTTTTTTCGCCGTAGTAGTGAGTCATCATTAAAGTTATCACGCTTCATCATCATCACTGTCATGTCATTATCATCAACTCGAAAATCATTTTAGGCGTTAACAACGAGCCATCCTCATCATCCTCCTCATCATCATCATTTGTGTCGTCTTCGTCGTCGTCATCATCATGATCGTCATCATCATCCTCATCATCGTCGTCATCATCATCATCATCACCATTATCGTCATCTTCATCATCATAATCACCATCATCGTCATCATCTTCATCATCATAATCAGCATCATTATGAGGCAACATTTTATTGCTAGTAATATCCTAATTCGTGAAATTCAAGAAGCCACCTTCATCATCGTCATCGTCGTCGCTATCGAACCGTTGAACTCTTATGCGTGGGTGTACGAATGAATGACTAACTGAATGACTGAATGACTGAATGACATACTGAATGAATGAATGAATGAATGAATGAATGAGTGAATGAATGAATGAATGAGTGAATGAATAAATAAATGAAAGACTGTACTTATGTGTATGTCTAAGTGTTTGTGTGATGGTGTGTACGTCTGTACTGACTGCATCAGCTTCTCGGTATAATCACGATCTTTATAATCATTTTTTAATCATAATCATCATCGTCATAATCATCATCATAATCATCGTCATAATCATCGTCATAATCATCGTCATCCTTTTTTCCTATTTTTCACTTTAGAGGTTGCTCAACCAATCACGTCACACTTATCAAATTTCCCACTAAACCCAACCTGGCACTCACCACACGACCGCATAACTCCTCCCACTTATGTATTATTGCACCTCCAAATTAAACAGTCCTTTTAACCCGCTTTTATAACGTTCAAATAGCAACTTCACTAACGCCAAATGCTTTTTAGTGTGTTTGGTTGACCTAATTTTTTTGGCCCATCTATGCAAGCAAAGGACAAACACAAATGCAAAGAACTCAAAAACTTGATCATGACGTCAAACATTTCAATAACGATGAGCATAAAAATATGGTTGAAATAAAATTAAGGCTTATAAAAAAAATTGTTAATGATAAAAACATTTGCTATCTTAAAAGCCACGCAGACGTTAATTTTATTTGCACAAACTTGAGATGAGTGAACGATGTTGAATATTTTCTGGGTTCTTGATGGCCATCTAACACGCATCATCCATTCATCTCACTGCTAACCCGAGCAAGCGCGCAACAACCAGCTGGAAGAACAAGGGGATGAATAAAAAGATGAATGTATAAGTGAGTGAGTGAATGAATGAATGAGTGATTGAATGAATGAATGAATGGTTATTATTTTCTGTTACGACTGTTGTTAATAAATATCATTATTCTTACGCTCAAAATAAGTTTGTTTAAATATTTTACCTTTTTTTCGTCACGGAAAATGAAAAATATTCATAATAAATGCCCTATTTTAAAGTTGAATGTCATGACTTTCAAAAATAATTTTGAATGGCGATGCATATTCAATTACGCTGTCACATGTTTGAATGGTGGGAGGGTGTTTGAACGTGTCAGACGTAGCTGAACACCCTTCTGGAAAGAACCACAACTCACAAGTTACAACTACAGCTCGTCCTCATTAACTGCATTGCGTGAATTAATGCACTCTGGCACGCTTTTGTATGATGTGAATGACATCTTGGAAGTAATAATTCATGGAGGAAGAAAAATTAAAATACTTAGAAAAACAAATGAATCAGATGCGTATTAAAGACCTAAGCAAGTGTCTGTACTTACTTGACTTTGATTGGCGGGTTGGTAAGTAGTTAGTTAGGCGTGGGAGCGATAGAACCAACTGAATATAGAGAAATAGAATATTATTATTATTATTAAATATTTTTGTTAGAAATTTAATTCATTTACAAGATAGATTGATAAAGGAATAAAATATATGTGTGTATGATGTATGTATGTATGTATTTGTGTGTGTGTGTGTTTGTTTGCATATACCTTGCATAAATAAATATACATATATCCATATATAATTCAATTCATTGTATACCTGAATTAAGTTTGATTAAGTTTGTTAGCCAAAAGAATATATAACCAATATTAATAAACGATAATAAAAAAATTATGATGACGATGGTGATAATAATAATAATAATAATAACAACAACAACAATAATAATAATAATAACAATAATATTAATAACATTAACGATGATGATGATGATAATAATGATGACGAATTGATAATTATGATGAATTGATGATGATGATAACAACAAAAAGAACTTTGGCGAATGTTTTTCAGCCGGGCAATCAAATATGCACAATTAATTGAATCTACGATCAAAATTGGTTTTCTAGACATTTTTTATTTCCCCTTTCATTTGTTTGAAAATGTTCTTCCATTTTTTTTGCAAGTTTTTATTTTTTGGTTTAGTTTGGAGGTGTCACGTTATTGTTATTGTTCTTCTTCTTATTATTATTATTAATATTATTATTATTTCTGTTAATAAATTCAGTTTAATTATAAAAGACGTATTTGTAACATGAATCTCGCCAAAACTTTTTTTCCCTGGCCTCATTTCAATCGTCAACAAATTTTGCCATAAATTGTTGGTTAGACGGATTAGCAACTGGATAAACAAATGAAAAATATGTTGGTCTCTTTATATATGGCTGAATGTTACTAGGCATGGCTGTTATGTTATATGAACTTGGTTCAACTGCATTCCTACCTCAAACCTGTTTTATTTTCATTTTTATTTTGTTTCATTTTAACATGACAAAATTTATTTCATTAAATGATGTTGTGTATTTTTATGTGTGTTTATACACGTGTGCGTACCAGTGTGTGCGTGTGTGTTTAATTTTGATTTGCAAGAAATTGTGAGCTAACATGTAACATAAAAATAACTATGTGATGAAACGCTGTCGTTGTTGTTATGAAGACTGGTCTTGCGTGACAGGATTGAAATTCAGAATCCTCCAAAACCCAGCATACGCAAAAGTTTAATGTTCAGTGCGTTGATTCAAGTTCAGATTCATGCACTCATGAGTTTTGTAGTTGATTTATGCGGGTTTGCTGTTTTTGATTTTTGTATGCGTGCAACGTTAAAGAGCTAGTGAGAAGGTGTTGCATACCGCTGAAACTCAGCAGAAAGGTTGAAATTTAAAATCAGATAACCAAATCATCGTTGTTTGGCTTGAGTTCAATGGTGGTCCAGCTGCAGACAAACTCTATTTAATGCCGATACTTGCTTTAAAGATTTTCACTTACTGTTTATTATTTTATAAATTTGAAAGTTTTTTTTATGTGAAAAGAGTACTGTCAACAAAACAAATTAAAAAATTTTTTACAATAAAAACAATCATTTTAATAGAACTAATGATTTTAGTCCAAAAAACAAACACAACTAAAAAATTATTTATAATATAATTAATAAATAATAAAACAATAAATAAAAGGGTGACCGAGCGAGCGAATAAATGAGATAAAAGAATGAAACTCATGCACGTGATGAAGACATGACAAGTGTCTGATGGATGCAATGTACATTAATATTCCTTTCTACGCCGTGTTGATGATGATAGTGATGACGATGATAATGATTACATAATGATGATGAGGAAGATGACAACAATGATTACGATGTTGATAATGATCGTCGTGATGATGATGATGGTGACCGTGGTGATGACGATGACGAAGATGATGAAAGTTATGAAGATGATGATGAGAATGATAGTGATGATGACAAGCTGATGACGACGACGACAATGATAATTTTTTGACGATGATAACAAAACAACAGAAAAAAGCAGGCAATACAATAAAGATGACCGCACGAAATGAAGTAAACAACTCACCCAATCCTCTGCCAATCAGAAGCGGTCATAATAATAAGAATAATAAAAATTATAATTTTACCCGTCATAATTATATTTGAATATATATTTGCATTAGATATTATAAATATTTTGTAACGAGTAGGCCGTTAAAAGTTTGAAATAAACTCTAAATCTCACCATGATTCCTCTCCTTCATCTCAACGTCATCGTCATCATCATCATCATCATCAACATCAGTATCGTTACTAGCATCAGTACCACCTAGCACCACAATGAGAAGTTTTCTTATTTAATGAATCGTTCCAGCGTGTATTTGATGAGGACGGACGATAAATAACTAGCTTGTCATGCTTACATGCTTGCGTCAAATGCTCTTGTTTCTGCTGTTGTTGTTGTTGCATTGTTGTTTTTTGTTATTGTTTGTTGTTATTGTTTTGTTGATGTTACGATGTTATTAATGTTATATCATTGTTGTCTCAGTTGTTGCATTAGTGAACCGTTGATGTTACAGTGTTGCCGATGTCATATTATGGTTGTTTTTGTTGATGCTGTTGATGTAGTTACATTGCTGTAGGTGTTATAACTGGCATAGCTCACATGCATGTATTGAATGATTTTGTTCAGGTTGTTGTAATGTTGTTGTTGTTGATGTTGTTGGGATGTTGCCAGCCTGTTTTGTGGCTTGTCATGCTTACGTGCTTATATCAAGTGCTGTTGTTTTTGTTGTTGTATGTTAATGTTTCCATGTTACAGCTTCAATGTCTTGTTGTTGTTATGCATTTGTGTATGAAAAAATTGTTGATGTTTTCAAAAAAGTTAGTGTTATTCATTAAACGTTCACATTGTTGTTGCAACCATTAGCACAGTTGTTTATATGCATGTTGGTCGTTGTTGGATTCACTCACTCATTGCTTTGTTTTGTTGTTTGCCTTCTCTGCAATGCTGGCCGTGTCGTGAAGCCATTTTTAATTAATTTCTAGTACAGTTTTTGGTGTCAAAATTGTTAAATAAGGTTTGCGCTATTGTTGTTTTGTGTTTTTATCTTGTTTTTTTATTTATTTTTTTATTTTTAAGCAATGGTGAAGTTTTAATTTTTTTTCTTAGTTTCTTTTTTTTGTTTTTTTTAGTTTTTTTAGTAAATTTTTTATTTTTTCAATAGGAATATATGTTTAGAATACGTAAAATTATGGAAGAAGGAGGAAAAACAATAAAACATTGGGAAATGGTTTGAATGAATGATGACGCTAATAAACTTCGTGTCACTGCAGTTAATAATAATTGTTCTTTTGTGATGAATTGTGGGGAATGATGTTGTCGTTTGGATGGAGTTGGTTGCTGCCCGTGCGGTTATGGATGAATGGTAGTGCCCCATGAAGTTCTTCTCATATTATGTCGGAGGTGGTGGTTCTTCTCGGTGCTTGCCAAACATGTTGTCCGTTTGTTGCTGTTGTTGTTGTTTATTACTGTTGTTGTTATTATTGATTGCTTTTAACATTATCAAGTTTATATTTTGTGTTTTTTAATAATTTGATGTTTTTCATATGAAAATATTTTATTTTTTATGAAAATTTTGAAGTAAACA